CAGCAGCTTGTGTGTAGGCACCCACCTGGGCAGGAACCGCTGGCCCCATCTTCTCAGCATCTCTGGCTGCAGGGTGGCCTCCACCTGTCTCATTTTCCCGGGGTCAGGGAGGACCAGCAAGAGCAGGGCTGTGCCACTGTACTCTATCTGGAGGACCATGCATGAAGCCTCCTGGTCATACAGGAACCTGTGCATTTCCCTCTGTTGCATCATGGGAACCTGGAGCGAGGTCCTCTGGTCCACAAAGAAGCTCTCCTGCTTCCGGGTCTGGTAGCGATCGAAAGGATGCTTCCACTTGGCTGAGGACATAAAACCATCAGAACCATTAGCATGTGTGCAAGACAGCAACTGGGGGCAGTCATCCACAAGCCAGACAGGGTTGTAGACTTCCTCTGGAATTCCTAGAAGCATCAAGGTCCAGGAAAGTCCCTGGGGTTAGAGCTCAGGCCCAGATATCTCTAAATAACCAGTGTCTACAGAGGTTCAAGCCAGGCATAGTGGCACACGCCTGCAGTCTCAGCACTGGGGAAACTGAGGCAAGGTCACTTTTCCCACTGAGCCATCTCCCCAGCCCTCCTTTCCCTTCTTATTTGTTTAATTTATTTACTTATTTACTTGAGACAGGGTCTCTCTATGTAGGCCAGACTGCTCTCAACTTGAGATATTCCTGCCTCAGCCTCCCAAGTGCTGAGATTACATGTTCGTGCCACCAGGCCTAATTAGATGCCTCTTTTTCTTGGGAGTCTTCCCTCTCTCTGTTCTCAGATGAAGGTCTTTTTTATTATGACACAGGTGCACTTACATATATGCAGGTAATACACTCATACAATCATAATAAAGTGCCTGCAGAGAACAGAAGAGGCCATCGGATCCTCTGGAACTGGAGTTACAGATGATTGTAGCCACCGTGTGGGTGCTGGGATTCAAACTGGGACTTCTGCAAGAACAGCCGGTGTTCTTAACTGCTGAGCCAAATCTCCAACCCCAGAGGAGTGTCTCCTTGGGGGACTCCATCACCCCCAAACCTTCATACCATTCCTGTGCTCTATTGGCTCTTTGCCTACTTCTAACCACTAGGGATGTGAGCCACTTAGAAACCAGTCTCATCCATAGATATCTTCAGGGTCCAACACTGCCCTATGTGGCTGGTTAGGGGCCTGCCCTAAGTCACTGCACATAGAACGAAGACTTACGGAGTAGGCTATCTGTGAGACAGGCCTCACCTTTGAAGAAGATGTAGTTCAGAAGAACCATGAGTGTGTCATGGCTGAGCCTTGGGAGGCAGTCCTCAACCCGTCCATATGTCTGCCTCTTCACCAGGTCGTTGATCTGCCGTCCAGTGGCAGCGGCATCTGTGAAGTTGGCGGAAAAAGCCAGTGCTCCATACAGCTCCTTGGCACTGTCTAGAAAGTGCTGCTGAGGCTTCAGCAGTTGGTCTAAGAACAGGGAGTGCCCCACTTTAAGTTCCAGTTTGGGGCTGGGCAGACCAAGTGTGTGCAGGAGACTCCGAAAGCCCTGGTGGATGTCTGCCGCTGGGGTCTCTGTGAGGTTGAAGCCCAGGCCCTTCAGGATCTGAGTTGGGGTGTCAGCATGTGCCCCAAGAGCGAGCAGGGCCAGCATGCTAGAGAGGCTCACTGGGGAGAAAAGGATGTTTCCTGGTGCACCCTCTGCCAGTTGCTTGTACAGACGCAAAGCAAAACTAGTAATGGTGGGTGTGACCTTGTGGTAGGCAGGGGCTGGCTCTAGAAGCTGGTGGTTGTGGGGTTGAGGCACCCCCAGACTCTTATCTCCATGGGCAGGAAATGGCTGACAATAGATAGCCAGCAGCCACAGCCAAACTGGCCCCATCCTCTGAAAAGAAGACAGTGAACACATCACTCCTCTTGGTAGATGACATGCATCATTCATCACCCCATTGCTTACAGTAAACCCCAGCATCCTCACCGAATCCCTCACCAAGAGAGCAAGGAAATGGGGAGCTACTGGGATGTGAGCCTGAAGAAGATTCTTTAGTCTACGCTTCCTCCTGCTCCTCCTCCTTCCTTTGTCCCCCCTCCTCCCCCCTTTTCCTCCCTCCATCCCTCTCCCCTCCTTCCTTCTTCCCTCCCTCCTCCCCTTCCATTTTATTTTTTTAATTTTCTCCAGTCATTCTTTTCAATCTTACATCATGTTCAAGGATCCATCTGCTCCAAAAAGTGTACTAGGCACTGAGTATCTTGTAGGAGAAAAGTTATAAACGTAATTCCTGGAGTCATAGCGTTAAGGATGAAGTTGGGGTGACATGTGGTAGTTGGCTAAGCAGATGCACATGTGATTACAAATTGAGAAGAATGCTATGAAAACCAGTGATGCTGGGCCCCCGGGAGTGGCTGTGGGATAGCGATGTCAATTGAAAGAAAGAGGATGGTATGCGAAGCCTCCTTTAGGGTCCAAGGAAAGAGGAGTGCCCTGTACCCTTGAAGCCTTTCATTAGCTTGATGCTCAGCCAAACCAACCAGGAGGATGAGGGCAGCCCTTGAGCTAGGGCGAAGAAACAGGGCTGATGGCTCCTGGGAGGAGAGTTGAGAGAGGGCCTCTGTCTCCACATTTCTACCACACCTCTGCCACCTGGAATGCCATCTACAGCTATGGGCAGTGACAGAATCACCCATCTTCACTGATGCAGAAGTTTCAGAAAGATCCATTACAGATTGAATTGTGCCTGCCCCAAATTCATATGCCTAACTCCTGATCCCCAGGGCCTCACAACGGGACCTTGCTTATCAATGAAGTTGTCAGAGATATAATTAGATCAGATGAGGTCATTAAAATACGTCCTTATGACTGGTGTCCTTGCAAGAAGGGAATTTTGTGGACTCAGGCTCCCAGGGAAGATGCTAACGAAGATGAAGACAGACAGTAGGAGATGTGGCTGCAAACCAAGGCATGCTGAAGGTCACCAGCAACTGGAAGCTGAGGAGAGGTCTGGAACAGGTTCTCCTGCCCAGCCACAGAAGGGCAATCTGTCACCTTGACCTTGATCTTCCAGCTTCCAGAACTGTGAGGCAAAAATGACTGTTTAAATGCCTCCTGGTGTTTTGGGGACCTAGCAAGGCAGCCCCTGCAGACAAATGCCACATGTCTTATATTCTAGTTTGAGTTATGAGATGCACCTCTGGTCACCTGGAGGGGTCAGAGGCCAGAGCAGGAAGGACCCTGGCTTCAGTGCTGGAAGGACACAGCAGTGTAGACAAAGCCCACCTTGTATCCACTTCCTCCCTTTCCCTTTTAGGCGTCTCCCACCTGTGCAGCTCTGTAGAAGACACACCACCCTCTGAAGCCTGGATTCTTCTGGACCCTGATGCCCTCCTGCTTCCCTTCGAACCAGCCCTTCCTCTTCCCATCACACAGCAGCTGCACACCAGTCCTTGTCACTAGTGTGTCCTGGGAGCAACCACATTGTGATCAGCACCTTTCATGGGTTTTGCTCCAAATGATGACCTTTGGGTCAGTGTCAACCGCTGTGGCGGTGTGAGGGAGAGAGCCTAGAGAAGACAGCATACAGTCCCTGGTACCTGGAGTACCTGCCAAATGACAAAGGCCACTGCCCTGGAAAGAGCCATGTCGTGTTGAAACACACTTGCTGGTCAAAATACGGTGTACACATCCCGAAGCTAACTCTCCCTCCAGCGCCACTCTGTGAGCTGCTTGAGGACAGTTCGGTGTGCTTGAGCTTTTCCTTTGATGGAAAAATTGGAAGATGCAGAACAGTTTAATAACTGGTCTGCTTCTAGGTGGTGTGAAATGGCACTGTGAAGGTGCTTAAGTTCAACCTATCTACCACTGGACTCTGTGCCTTTTCCTGAATACTGCACCTGGAGGTGGCTAGCTGTTTCCCAGGGAAGACTGAACTGTAGCGG